GAGAGAGAGAGAGAGAGAGATCGGAATATGAAAGGGTCCGGAGGCCAAATCCGCGAACGTATGCCAGCTAAGCCGCCAGGTACTGCGACAACCCGGCGGGAGAGGGGGGGGGGGGGGGGGGGGGGGGGGAGGCCAAAACACAGCAGCGTACCCAGTGAGCAACCGGCTCCGAGGCACTCGGCGTGAAGCCGCACATCCGGTGCGGACGCTGGCCCGGGTCGGTCAGCTCGGAGAACTGGAAACCGAGCGGCACCCGGCACGCCCGGCGATCGGGAAAGAGAGACATGCTGGCGGAGCGCCGAGGCTGGAGGTGGTGGCCCACGCCCAGGCCACCGGCAGCGATGGCCGCATCATCCGAGTCCTGGTCCGAGCCCTCGTCATCCGAGTCCACCATGTCCCCGACGACCAGGATGATGTCCCCATCATCGGCATCGGCGTCGATGAAGGTGACCTGGCTCAGGTGGCAGTCGTTCGGATCGGCGCCCACATCGCCGGCACCGGCCTCCGGCCCCATGCTGCTGGCTGCAAGCGAGGAAGGCCATCCGGCGCGAGGGAGAGGGAGGGGCATGCGTGGGGACGGGACGGGGGGGAGGGGGGGGGGATCGGAAAGGAGAAGAGGTCAGGGTCGATCGGGGGCCGGTGCACCAGGACAGGAGGACAGGCGGAGGGCGAGAGAGCGAGGCAGTGGTCCGCACTCTGGCCGAAGTAGCTGTCCGAATGGTGGAGATGATGATGGTGGAGGTGGTGGAGCGGGGTGCCAGTGCCGGTGAGGGTCAGATCCGGCATGTAGTCGCAAGAGAGCGAGCGCCGGCGGGCGGCGGCTGCAGCGGCGGCGGCGGCGGCGGCGGCGGCGGCAGCAGCAGCAGCGGCGGCCACCGAGGGGAACTCATTCAACTCTCCGTCCGACAGGGCTGCGGGGAGGGGGAGAGCAGTGGTACATAGTTCGGGCCCCGCAGCTGCATGCGCGGGGGACAAGGCCATGGAGGACGCCGGGAGGGGGAGGGAGGGGAGGAGGGGGCGAGGAGGGCCGCGGCAGAAGGGGGGAGAAGCGCAGCTGGCTACAGCGACAACAGCGGCGGCAGCGTGCTGGCTCGGTTTACAGGGTGGGCAGGCAGCGCAGAGTCATGCGGCGAGCAGGGTGCTGGGGAGGGGGCGTAGAGAGAGGGAGAGAGAGAGAGAGAGAGAAAGAGAGAGAGGGAGGGGGGAGCAGGAGGGGAGGCGGAGGGCGACCGGGGCGGAGCAAGCAGGGGGGGGGAGAGAGAGGGAGGGGGGAGGACTGGGAAAAGAGCAGGGGGGGGGGAGGAAAGCCCAGTGCACGGGAGGCACGGGGCGTGCATGACACAGTGGCCGAAAGGGCGCAGATTGTGGAGAGGATGAGATGGGGGGGGGGGGGGGGGGGGGGCCAGTCCACCCGGCTCGCGGCGCCGGACAAGGCAGCCGCGCCTCCCTTACCGGCTCCCACAGGCACACACGAGGTGCGTGCGGGGAGAGAGCAGGCCATCGGGGGAATCACACGCGCCCGGGCACATGCGCCCGGCTCCGGGGCCCCCACTGACGAGGGCGCGCACACATGCCTGCACGGCCATACACGCGCCCGTGCACCTGGGCCGCCGTGGGGTGGCCAAATTCAAAATAATCGGAGATCGCCCGGGGACGGCGCCCCCCCCCCCCCCCCGAGCCCACGAGTGCACGCAGCCCAGGAGGGGCAGCCCCCCGGTCAGGGAGCGAGCCGGGCCGGACCGGACCGGGGGAGGGGGGGGCCACGGCGGGAGCCATGAGGGGCATATGCTCCCCCCACGCCCAGGCCCGAGATACGTGGCCCGGGGTGAGCTGGAACCGGTTCCAGGGGGGGCGGGAGGGGGGATGCGACGCCTGGGCGCGTGCCCCACTCCCCCCCTGACGAAGTCATGGACACAGTTTGGTGGGATACCGCGGGGCCTCTGCCCCGCCGCGCCGCCGCCGCCGCCGCCGCCGCCGCCGCCGCCACGGGCGCCACGGGCGCCGGAGCTTCTCCCCGGAACAAGGGCATCCCCGGGGAACACGCGCCCATGTGCAGGCTCTTGCGCATCTGTCCCGCATGCGCACGCATCAGAGCCCCCCCCCCCCCCCCCCCCCCCACGGCTGCCGGGGGTAACCGGGGGACGATCTTCGGGGGCACGCTAGATGCACACACGGGACGGCCCCACGGCCGAACGGCGCCCTCCCAGCCGAGATGGGGGGGGGGGGGCGGGGGACGGGTGCGCAAGGCTCGCGCCGGCAGGGGCTGGCGTCGCCCGATCTCATTGTGGAGGAAAAGGCACTCCCCCCCCCCCCCCGCGCCCCAAGCAGCGCGGCCTAGCTCAGGAGAGATGCCGGGAAAGGTTCCAGCCCGGGCCGCCGCCGCCGCCGCCGCCGCCGGAGGAAGGGAAAGGACAAGGGGGAAAATGCCCTGCCTCAAGGGGACCCACCCATGGTATGAGTAATGCCGCAACCCACGGTGATGCATATTTTCCCGATGCCATGTGGGTCATCCCCGCCGGCCGCGTTGCCAGTTACTCCGCCGCTCCTTTGTCGCTTGCCTTCCCCCAGGCGTGGCAGGGCTCCCCGCCCCCCCGCCCCCCCCCCCCCGGGCCCTCTTCCGGCGCCGGTGCCGGCTCGCACGAGGGGGCAGGCTCTCGCCCGGGCAGCGCGGGGGGGGGGGGGGGGCCGAGAGAAGCCCGGCCCCCGGCGCCCAGGCCAGCTAGCCTTGTTCATCAGAACCCCTCGGGAAAAAGCCCGCCGTCGAGCTCCCCCAGGCTAGGTACCCAGAGCCGGCCGCCGGCGGGGGGCGACACGCAGGGAAGCCAACGCCCACGGCCAGCAGGACGATCACACGCGCCCGCGCCCGCGCCCGCGCCCAAGTAGCGTAGGCTGCCCCAGAAGCACGAGGTGCGCAACGCCCGGGCGCATGCGCGCATGTGCGCCCGCCGTCACCCTGCCCCCGCCTCGCCGGCCGGCCGGCCGGCTGGCCGCAGCCAGGCTGGTCCAGGTGGCCCAGACGGGAGCTCCAGATCCACGTGTCGCGTTCCTCGCACCCCCCCCCCCGCTCCCCTGGTTGGGGCCCACACCTGGGCCCCGGGCGCGCGGGGGCGGCGGAG